AGACCAGCCTGGGTTGCATAATGAGACCCTCCCTCAAAACACTGAAAATAAATAAATCTACCAAGGCCCAGGGATATAGCTCAACAGCATTCACCTGCCTACCAAAGTGCAAGATTGTGAGTCTGATTCTCAGTCCCAAAATAAATCCATCAAGATGTATTATGATGATCTCTCATGCTCTTAAGGACAAACCTCAGAGCACTAAAACAACAGTTCCGAGAGTAAAGCTTATTAATTCAAAGTGAATTGTAAATCAAAGTATTCCACTGATTACGTTAACAATGAATAAAATGTAAAATCACTTTCCTGAGGCTTTAGGCCTGGGACTTGCATGAGAAGCTCTGCTGTCTTCCTGAGCCCAGGGCCTGAGGACTGGAAAGTCACCACGGGCAGGGGCAGAGCGCTCCTTGCTACCTGCAGGTCCGTGGAGGTGCAGAGCAGTGGGTGATGGATGAAAATTTCATGAAGAACAGTGTATTTATGTAGTCACAATAGGAGAAAAACGGTGACTTTATGGTGGGGACACATGGCTGATACCACACCATCTGGAGGTGACCAATATTAATGGACACCATTAATAGTGGAGGACAAATGGACACCAGTGGAGGACAAGGGACACAAGAGGCCTCCTAGCAGGTGCCCTGCACTACATGGCATTGCAAGCTGCCTGCTGCCAGAGACGCCAGTGCAGAAAGACAGGGACCAAGGAATGACATCAGACTAAAGGATGGAAAGTGCAGACAGAAGTCAAATGACTCGGCTGGATCCTGGAACGGGCTGTTTCTTCTTCCTCTGTTGCTGCAAGGACAAGTTTATATGCTCTCAGAGTAACTGGTAAAATCTGAATACGGACTTTAGATCAACTTATAGAATTGTGTCACTGTGAATGACTTGATTTTGGGCCTGGAATGTAGCTCAGTGGCACAAGTGACTGCCTGGCAAGTGCAAGGTCCTGAATTCAGTTTCTTCAACCAAAAAAAGGACTTGATTTTGACAATACTGTTTCTCAGAATGTCCGTTCGTTCTTTCTTTCTTTCTTTCTTTCTTTCTTTCTTTCTTTCTTTCTTTTCTTTTCTTTCTTTTTTTTTTTTAAATTTTATTTTAGGGAAGGGTCTACAGGGTATTCAGGGTCTCACTACTAGATTAGTGATTCACTAATCACTAGTAGTGATTCACCTGTTTACAGCCTCCCAAGTGCTGGGATTATAGGTGTGTACCACCACGCCCAGTCTCAAGCCCAGACTCAGCCTCCCAAGTGCTGGGATTACAGGTGCACACCATCATGCCCAGTCTCAAGCCCAGTCTCAATTCACGTCTCAGCGCGCCCCTAGGGGTGGGGCTGGCACAGCAGGCCCAGGGATCGAACCCCCGGCCCCTACCGCCTGCTTGCAGGTACTTTAATCCACTGAGCTATTTGGCCGGCCCTGAGAATGTCCTTTCTAAGAACAGAAACAGCCATGGCTTGGTGACACATCTGCAATCCAAGCACTTAGGAAACTGAGGCAGGAGGAAAGCCATGGGTTTGAAGCGAGCCTGGGCTATACAATGAGTTCAAACCAGCCTAAACTACACAGCGAGACCTTGGCTCAAAAACAAACATACAAACAAAAGAACAAACAGTTTCAGTACTAACATCATTTGGAAAATATTTCTCTTACACTGTATTTTTAAAATATACTTTTTAAAAAATTACAAAAATATGTAACTATAAGAATTGTATAATATTTACACTCAACTCAAAGCTGGATGTCTAAACTACATCTGGATTACCTATGTTTTAAAAAATTTCCAGGAAAATTTATGAAACAATGGCACACAAATCTGAGCAGGAAGAATAGAAGAGTGCTTGCCTACCATGTATAAGGTCCCAGGTTTGATCACCAGTACCACAAAATAAATAAATAAATATAAGCAATATGCAAACCTGTCATATTTTTGAGTCCAGGATTCCACCGTGTTTTTAAATCTGTTCTGATCAAATTCTATTTCCCACTGCAAAGCATTTATTTCCTATGGAAAGAAAAATCACACATTCATAAAAATTACAAACAGATAATTTATAATCATTTAACAAAAAAGATTTAAAGAGAAAAAATGATCAGTCTGAAAAAGTCTATGACATTTGTCCACATATGTGACATGCCTGTTTATTAGTACTTTCTGCCCAAACTCACTTAATATAAAAAAATCTTCAAATTGCCCAAGTTCCAATTTTGCTGGAAAGAAGCCAGCTCTGGCAGTGCCCAAGCCTGCCCCAGGCAGACACCAGAGGGAAGTCCCAGAAGTCTCAGCCAGTACAGCAGAGGTGACTGCTGACTTCCTTTCCAGTGCGGCGGGATGGTTGGGGACTCGGGGACGCAGACGCTGCACAGGCAGGTAAACAAAACCAGGGGAAGTAGGCTGCACTAAGCCTCCTTCTGCCATAAGGAAGGACAGTAGTAACTCTGCCCATGTGACAACCATCCCCGCCGTCCCAGAGGGAGGCGGGCAGAGACGGAGGAAGCATCCTGCACGGTGACGTGTCCCAGAGCACAGCGAGCTTGGCAGAGGCTATGTGGGCCTTACTGACTCAGCAAGGCTATGTCAGAGTGCCAAATACCTTCTCCAACAGTCTCTTTTGTTCCACAGTTTTCTGCAGCACCGCCTGCGTGTGACTTGTGGCTTTGTCTAGTACTGCCTAGGAGAGAGAAAAGGGCATCAGTGGAGAGCACATTTCTACTCACGCCTGTATCCACAGTGGGGTTCACTTTTTCACCTGAAGATACCAAAAAATTAACTTGAGAATTTCACACGGGCAACTTTTTGCTGCGAGTTTGATAGCTCAAAGGTCAGGGGACCTTGGTTTGGCTCTTTTCCATTGATGGCAAGACTGAAAGAATGAGTTTTCTACACAAGGAAAATGTACACAACAGAATTATTTGTTACAGTCACAAAGAATGAAACAACCCAAATGTTCATCAAGTGGTATCTGGGTAAACAGAACCGGTACAACTTCACCGTGGAATATTACTTGGCAATAAAAGCTAAGAAACACAGTGATAACCTGCTATCTCATGCATGGACCTCAAAAACATGCTAGCTAAAAGGCAAAAGAGTCACATGACTCTATTTGTATGAAACAGAAATGGAAGAGAAGACAAACCTATCAGATAGCCCAGCAGTGACCTGGGTCCCTTCTTCTGGATGACAGAACTGTACAAAGGTTCAGCTGGAGTGATAGGTGGACAACTCAAAGTTTACTATACATAAATTGTACTGTACACTTAAAATAAGTGAAATATGTAATATATAAATTATAAAGCTGTTCAAAATCTAGGCCTAATAAAAAAAAAAAACACAACTGTATTAAGCATTGCTGCTCTTGTTTCAAAAGTTGAAAACAAGCCCCCTACTGAGGTACATACCTGTAATCCCAGCAACTGGAGGCTGAGGCAGGAAGTACTTGAGCCTGAATCAAGCCTGGGCAACTTAATGACTCCAAGGTCAGCCTGAGATACATGGTGAGACCCTGTCTCAAAATAAGTAATCTCTGGGTGTGGTGGCACCCGCCTGTAATCCCATCACTCAGGAGGCTGAGGCAAGGGTCGAGGATCATTACAAGTGGGATACAAAGTGAGTTCAAGGCCAGCCTGGACTGCATAGCAAGACCCCGTCTTTAAAATAATGATAATAATAATAATTATTATTCAATTAGTTTTTTTTTTTTAAAGCCAAAATCAAGTTCATTGGAGGCTGAGATAGGAGGGTCACTGTGAGTTGCAGGCCAGCCTGGAGCCAGCCTGGACTACATAGAAAGACCCTGTCTAAAAAAATCTAAAATGCAATGACAAAAAAAAGTCAATTATTGAAATGTGTAAGAGATAACTTCTTACCATGCTCTGAAGAATTTTCAGAGCTTCTTCTTTCCCTTCAAGTTGTCTTTGAGATGCTTCAAGTTCAGTTTTTAAAATTTCTACTTCCTGAAGACAGAAATAAAATTAGTTTATTTCCAAGATAATGCACTCCCCAAAGTATCCATTTGGCCAGCCCACATTTACCACTGGGTGGGAATTCTTCCATTTTTTTTTTTTTACAGAAATAATTCTTAATGGGGCTGGGGAGATGGCTCAGCAGAATAAGCGCTTCCCGGGCAAGAGCAAGAGTCTGAGTTCAATCCCCAGTTCCGCCAAAAAGAGAAAAAAAAAAAAAAAAGAAAAAGAAAAGAAATAATTCTTAAAGAAAAAAAGAAATAGTTCTTAAGATTTATTGTACAAAAGAACCTGAAGATTATCCAGAAAATTTTTAGAGTTCCAAGTTTCATGTTTAAGTATTCAGATTCACTATTACATAGTAAATTAATTAATTAATTAATTAATTAATTATTTATTTATTTAT